ACTTGTAGCCGAGAAGAAGTCATCTGACTTGCAACAAGAACACGATGAAGAAGTCCAAGCGTTGCAAGGAGCGCTCGTCCGGACGAAGAAGGAGCTTGAAGGAGCCAAGAAGGAACTCAGGAAGTTGAAGAGAGCAGCTGCAGGTGAGACGTCTTCTTTATGTTCTTCGCTGTCTTCTGACTCTCACGAACAGGAATACCTGAATTAAAGATAACATCTCCCGACGGGAAAGTTATACCCCGCATTGCTACTTCGAACAGTACGTCTTCCCTTCCAACCTAACTATCCTTGCTGACACCCTGCACCCTTCTAGGTACCGATTCCTTGAGCGAAGATCGAAATATCTCAGTGAGGGAACGCCTTACTCTCGCGTACACAGAAGTTGTCACTCTTAGGGACCAGTGCGCAGTTTTGCGTCTTCATGCAGACGAAAACGCCGACTTGCAGGAGGATATCAAGCAGCTTCTCACGCAGCGCTCTGGTCTCTGGGATCAACTTGGGGCGGCGAACAGCGCCTGCCGCAGGCTGGAGGAAGAGAATAAGAAATACTTCCGCCAGTTTGTGGAGATCAGAGCTGAGCTAACCAAGGTAGAAAAGAGAACCGGTCAGTCGTTTACCTCTTTGCTGTGGTCGGCGCTAAAACTATTATTCGTCAAGGAATTGCGATTTCCGTCATCGAAGAAGAGGAAGAAGAGCCCGAAGTACCAGCTCGATCCCTGTTTGAAGTTCCACCGGCTGATCAAGGCTGTCGTTCGGCATTTGATGATGACTCTGACGAAGGGTCCATTGCTTCCTCGGTCTCATGCTATTCAATGGCATCCACGGATGACTTTGACGGTAAGATTTTGTCGACTTCTGGCGGTTTTGATGGCTAATTGGAATCTTGATAGTATCCCTGCCCTCTGAGGTTGATACGCCTCATACATCAGTCCCGTCCTCCCCGTGTCCTTCACTCTCCCCACCCCCTTCTCCCTCTTTTACGATGCCTTCTTGGGTTCCCTGTTTCGACTCGGAGTGCACGGATTTTGCATTCGATATCGTTCCGGGCTCACCCCTCGCGGATGCGATTTCCGTGTATGCCAGTATTCACCAGCCTAGTGGCGTCAGTCATCGTTCATTTGTCACCCCTCGTGGTCTCTGTATTCCCATCGTCCGTCCTTCCTGGCCTTCAGCTAGCTCCGTTGTTGCCCCTTTCGACGAAGCGTCCCCCAAGCGGAAGTTGGCTCTGGATCTGGACGATGCGACACCAAAGACTCGTCGGAAGTACGAAGAATGTTGATGTATCAAGTTTGCAGTGCGTCTCGTTTGCAGAGTTTTTCTTTTCTTTTCTCGATATTTTCTTTCCTCTTCCTCATTTCTTATCTTTCCACGTCCTATCATTCCTTTCTTTTTGCAGTGGGTCGCAGGGTTGTGTTTTAGTTAACAGGCCGTTCCTTTGGTTTACGGTGGTCCTGGTTCCGGTTGCATCGTTCGGCTGGGATGCTTTCCCTCGGGGATCCTGATGAGGTGAAGTACTTCCTTGGGTCTCATTGCTGCTTATATCTGTCCTTCCACGTTTGCCCTTTAAAGTGGCACGGGAAACTCTATAGGTGGTTATGTTTCTCTTGGACTTGCGGATCTCTCGGATTGGACTCTTCTAGTGATAGTGTTTAGGCAGATCATGTACTCGGTTTCCTCGACGCTGTAATATATTGGGATTGTCATGAATTACAATTCAGTCTTGCGACATACGAGTCGTGCAAGCCTGGGATACTAGACTTTGAGAACAATCAAGTTGCAAATTGTCCACCCTCAAGCGATCCGGATTAGCGCAGATTGGTTATCGGTTATGTATTTACGCCAGCGCATTGATGGAATCCGACAACCGATATCATCAGATAACATGCGGCAGTCACGAGGCGTGCCCGATGCCAGGATGATCTTGTCTCCATAAATTAGTAATACGAGTGTGAATATATTCGTCCGACCACAATCAAACTGGCGCAGTCTATCCACTATAATAAACGATAATGAACTGTGTCCAAGCGCTCTGGTGCCCGTGGACAATGGCATTTGTCACGTGATGAAACGCGGACGCGTTTATTTGTTTGTATTATGTGTGGATGGTTGAAATTTAAAATGGCCATTTCTGGAATAGTTCAAGTAGTTCCTCTCGTCCTTCGTTTGCTCTTCGTTTTACATTTCATTCATCTACCTACTGCACGCACAGATAGAGTACCTCCTGCGTCAATTAGATAGCTAATGTCTTCCAACTTACCAGTAAGTCCCATACTTTATCGATTTTTGGTCGTCGTCATTGTCGATGAGCTTGTCGCTGATCGATGTTATGTTCCAGACTCGCCGTGTAACGCGGGTCACTCGCACGGCGGTCCAGAAGGACAGCGAGAACGCCAATGCTCGTCCATCTCGTATTATCTCCCGTGTGAAGCCCCCATCCACGTCTGTCATTCCTGCTCCCACCGCCACACTTCAATCCAGGGCCTTAGGCGCTACTGCGGCTTCCCGCGCAAAAGTCGGGGCCAACGATGAGAATAAGGTCGATCTTTCTCTCCAGGGAAAGCGTAAGCGCGAGGCGCTTGGCGAAGTCACGACTAAGAACATCAACAAGAACAAGGTCACTGCCACAGTACTAAGGATGGAAAAGGCAAAGGCAAAGAAGTAGCCCCACCGACCAAAGAAACGTTTGATGGCGTAGTGATTAAGGCGAAGCCCGCTATCTCCTTGAGACAGATCACTGCCCCCGCTCGCCGCACCACACGGTCTGCGATTGTTCCCGAGGTCAAACCATTAAAAGATGTCAAAGAGGGACTTATAGTCAATGATGAAGACGCGATGGCTGTGGATGATCACCCACCGGCTCCTGAGACCTCGCGACGTGTGTCAACCCGCAGGTCGGGGGCGAACACCCAACAGGTGATCACCCAGGAGGTACAACGTGTCCAGACTACTCGGCGAACTTCTTCGCATCTTGTCTTCAAGGCTGCAACGCAAGAGGAAGTTCAGGACGATCGTGTGTTTAAGAAGAGGCGAACGTCTTCTGATGCTCCCGAGACTGACATAGACGAGCAAGCACAACACGAGGCAGAAGTGGCGGCTGTTCTCGATGACAATGTGGCACCAGAAGCTGATCCCGATGGCGATGAGTGGGACGACCTCGATGCTGAGGATTCCGATGATCCATTGATGGTTAGCGAATATGTTGTCGAGATCTTCAAGTACATGAAGCTGACCGAGGTATGAGTCCCCAAATATTTTTTATCATCTTGTTGTAATTAATGAGCCACCTTCAGCTTATAACACTTCCCAATCCGGAATACATGGCATCGCAAAAAGAGCTGGCCTGGTCGATGCGTGGAATCCTTCTCGATTGGTTGGTGCAAGTACATGCACGGTTCCGATTGCTTCCCGAGACCCTGTTCCTCTGCGTGAACATAATCGATAGGTTCTTGTCGGCACGTGTCGTCTCCCTTGCTAAACTTCAGCTCGTGGGCATTACGTGTCTCTTCATTGCCTCCAAGGTTGAAGAATTGTTGCACCATCCGTCTCGCACTTCCTTCATTGCGCGGATTCATCCTATACCGAATCCGAGATCCTTCTCGCGGAGCGGTACGTCCTGAAAACGATCGACTGGAACTTGAGCTATCCGAACCCGATGCACTTTCTGCGCCGTATAAGCAAAGCGGATGATTACGACGTCAAATCGAGAACGATGGGGAAATATTTATTGGAAGTGGGTACACTAGAGTGGCGGTTGCTGGCCACGCCACCTTCCCTGGTTGCTGCGGCGGCGACCTGGTTGGGACGCCTCATTCTTGGCAATGATAAATGGGTAAGGGTGTGTGCCACATTTCGATCTCGTTGATAACATTTCCGGATTCTAGACTCCTAATCATGCCCATTACTCATCGTATGCGGAAAGCTCCATAATTCCGACAGCCAACTTGATGCTTAACTATATTCTCAAACCTGTTCGTCACGAATCATTTTACAAGAAATACGCTGGCAAGCGTTTCATGAAGGTATGTTTTGATACATGGCGCGTGGACACCAGGTAACTTAGTCATGGTGTGCAGGTAAGCGTACTCGTACGAGAGTGGGCCCTAGAGCGGTGGGAAGAAGGCGAACAGGTGTCTCTTTTGGCGGAATTGCAGCCATCCGTGCAAGGAATCGGGCAGAAAGGGAGCGGTTAGCAGCAGCGGGCTTGGATTGTAATGGGGATGAAAACTCATAAGGTCGGCGATGCGCATGGTCTCTACCCTTTCGTTCAATCTCTATCATCACAGCAATCACTCACCAAAACGCATATCCATTTTACGGACACCCACACTTATCTATCCCTGCCTGCATCATATTCATCACACGAGCATCATGATCATTGTTAATTTTGTGCAACCACAACCAACCCACCACGCCAACTTCGTTTTTGTTCTTTATGAATTGATCCTATGGTTATCAAATACGTTTTCCCCCTCCACACCCGCCTGTTCATGCGCCACATCTTACCTCCTGCTCTGCGCTCGATTTGTCGCTGTCACGCTGCTGTCTCAGTGCTCTACGCATCTTACTCGCTGTCTGTCGTACTCGATTGTCGATTCGCGCAAATGCACCAGTACCGCCGGACACCCTTCCATCGTTGCTTGCTCTGTTCTCGCTTGCATCATACTGTTTACTGGTAACTGCTCTGTTCATTCGCGCTACCCGTACATATCCCCCTTCACCGGTCACTACGCCTGCACATCACCACTATCATGTTATCACACAGTCACTAGGACTTTTTCCCTTTATACCGTCGCTTTATCCGACGCGTTCTTGATAATTGTTATCCACTTGAATCTTCGGAGTGGTGAGATACGTTCTGTATAATTTGTAGGGAAAAAATAAAGAACTATCATCGTCACGCACCTCTGTAATGGAAGTTAACAAATGAGCTTATGAGCACCGTCCATAACTTTCAAGTCCCTCAATCTACATAAAAAATGGCTAGGTCGACGGCTAAAAAACTCTCTGCGGGGAGTCGAACCCCGCTCTCCCGCGACCGCCTTGTGATGACAGGCGGGTGTACTATCCGATATACTACCAGAGACCTGCCATGGAAGAATTTATAACACTCAACAATTCCATTGAGTGATGAGCTCGCCCTCAGGCTGGCGGTTCCAGCCGCCAGGCACGGACAAAGTTTGAGCGTCGTCATGAACGTTTGACTCTTCACACCTCGCAGTTCTATGCAACACTCGCTGAAAATTTACTTGATCGAGGGGTCACTAGTGTGCTACTATGTTGACTATCATACTATCTATAATCTTTTGCTATCATTGGTGCTTACAAGTGACTGGACCGCAAATCTCATAACATGCGCTTTTGCGATCATAACAACCTGAGGTTAGTCTACGGTTCCTGGTTTCTGATTCATGCTACTACTCCAGTAGCAGTATTAGTGTCCTTAAAAGGGCTTCTCGGCGTATACTCTCCGCCATCGAAGCGGGCGGGTCTCTACGACATGGTATACTGATTAAGGTGTGCGTGTGATCAAGGTATTTATTAATATAATACTTCCCCGCCTCAGATCTGACTCAGATGATAACCAATTGACTGAGGGATATTTGCTCAGGCCCTGTGAGAGCATGTCACTCCTGTGTCTTGCCGGTGTCCTTACGCCGCACAGCCCGTATTTGTCCTCGATTTGTCTACGATGAATGGCCGTACTTTTCTTCACGTGCCCTCTACAAAGAGACGTTGTCGACTTGTTGTTGACAATGATATCGGATACGATTGCGTCTCCTTATCTGGATATCTCAGCAAAACTGCGCTGGCTAGTACTTGTTGCGCTTGCCTTCACAGCTGTCGTCCTTGTGTTTACTGACCCCCTACCATTACACAGAAAGAAGCCAGTAATTGTACATCCCCAGTGTCGGGCACACACCTGGGTGAAAGTATCTGGCATGGTTCTGGTGATGTTATTGCAGGAAGCATCAGGATTAAACGTGTACCGTAGAGCTATGCCGAACTTGACTCTTGAACGTTTCCGGCAAGTGCCAGTGGATGGCGTCCTCAAAAACTCAAGAACCGACCACGGCATTCATACCGTTCATCAAGTTGTTGGCTCCATCCACAATTCCTCCATGACCTTCTCCATGCAGCGACTGGGAGGCTCCATTTTGAGCTAGTGTCCTGGTCGTCCCCATACAGGCTCGTTGCCGACACCTGACTGGCAACGTCGGTCTATCATTCATTCCAATGCAAAACCAGCGTCCTGTGCAAATAACGCCAGGTTACTCTCACCCAAGCATTGTCAATGAGTGTTGAAAACCCGCACGAGAGAGATCATGATATAGACGGATCGGTACTCAAGTTGTGGTGAAGCTAGATGGTTCAAGTTATCTGATATTTCAATCCAACAACACTGGCTATGTGGTAATGCAAAAATCTTAGATATTTCAAGTCTCGAAAACAGGAACTTATGATAGCGGTCGTGGGTCTAGCCGATACTCTAGTAACTGTGCGTAATTGACATAGAACAACACCAATTTGGTCTGACTATGGAAGACTGAGAACATGTAAGCATATGAATTTCGTTGCAATTTTCACATTTAACCTTTCAGCTGGTATATGGCTCAAACTGAAGAAAACCCCGAACACTTCCCTCCAATCGCAGACGTTGTCAATAAAACTGATACTGGAGATGAAGAAGATATCGGCGCTAGACCACAGAGTGGGCAGTACCCGATGACATCATTCCAAAGGCATGTTTTCGTCCTTGATTCATATACCACATATTGAACATGTGTCGTATAGCTTTCAACCTTCACGACCTTTGCAGAGTCTAGCCAGGCAACGTCTAGCCAGGCAAAGTCCATCCAGGCAAAGTCTAGCCAGCCAACGTCTATTGCAAAGTCTAGCCAGGCAAGGTCTATTGCAAGGTCTATTGCAAGGCCTAGCCAGGCAATGTCTAGCCAGGCAACATCTAGCCAGGCAGCGTCCATTGCAAAGTCTATCCAGGCAAAGTTAGATAAAATGCTATAGGAGGATGCGCTCCAGGACGCGCAAAAGGTGTGATGACTTCTACGCTTCTGTAGTCCATGTTGATTTCCGCAATGCATAGGTCATCGAACTCGATCCTTCGTCTCATATTGGATACCAGTTGACACATGCAGCACTGCATGGCTTGCAACGTTACGACGAAGCTATCGACGCCTTCACAATCATGTTGTCCATGTTGGACCATGCTCCCGAAGCGAAAGTACGAGGTAAGCCATAGAGCACTCCTCCATCGTCTCGAAATGCTCATCTTGTGTTGCAGATCTGCGTCAGCAGTATATCCATCCATCCCAAGTAGGAGACGTTATCCAAAAAGCCGTTTGGACGGAACTCGAATATATCCCTCTACGTCTTCTTAATACCTCTACGGGTCTCTTGTGCGACCGAGCGGCACAAATAGGTGCATTTAAAGCGAGTGCGGAGTACAAAGAGCTTTTGTCATCCATAACAAGGCATTCAGACCTCGGAACGGAACGCATCGCAGACGTGGTGGGGACGTACTTCCGCTGCGTCCTGCTATCCCACAGGTGGGAAGAAACGGAGGCGGTGCTGCCCGACATTCAAGACAAAGTCGTGTATGAGTTGAACGGACTCGGTGGCATCGCGAAACTGCAGTCATTCTGCAAACTCGCTCGTGATGCTGGGTATAGATGGGCATGGATGGACACATGCTGCATCGACAAGAGGAGCAACACCGAGGTGCAGGAATCGGTCAACTCTATGTTCGTCTGGTACCGCCACTCGGCGCTTACCATCGTCTACCTATCCGATGTCCCTCCGTCATCCAAGCCCGGTGCACTGGCGAGGAGTATTTGGAATGAGCGAGGATGGACATTTCAAGAATTTGTCGCCCCGAAAGTCGTTATCTTTTATCAAAAAGATTGGTCGTTATATCTCGGCGATCGCTCTCCTAACCACAAGGAGTCCTCTGCAATTATGAAGGAGTTGGAGAATGCGACGGGCATTGATGCGCAGGCCCTGGTAACATTCTGTCCAGGTATGAGCGCCGCGCGCGAGAAATTGCAGTGGGCATCGAAGCGTGTTACCACTTTGCAGGAAGATGTCGCGTACTCATTTTTTGGCATTTTTGGCATCACCCTACCTGTCATTTATGGCGAGAGGAGGCAGAATGCGCTCGGGCGCCTCTTGCAGGAGATCGTGACTCGGTCGGGTGATATCAGCGTTCTGGACTGGATCGGACAACCTTCCGAGTTCAACAGCTGTCTTCCAGCTCATATCACCTCTTACACCACCCCTCCGCGCACCCTTCCACCTTTGTCTGACGATGATATTCGCACACAAGTCTCTTCGTTGCGACAAACCATGGATACAGATCTGGCATTAGAATTCTATAAGCAGCTTGAACAGCTGAGCGCTCTTCGGTTTGCAAACTGCAGACTTCATCTGCCTTGCATTTCATTCTGTGTCACGGAAGTCGGCCCGAACCGCGGTCTAGTCCAGGACACGTATTATATGAAGGCAGAGGGACTTAATGACCTGCTGATCACCACCAAAGAACCCCTACCTCAGTTCTCGCATGCAAGGCTCAATCGGCGGACGTTGTTACTTGTCCGTCCATGGGATCGGTATCTCCTCGAGGCATCTGGCTTTGCAGACTCCAGAGCAGCCCGACTTCACGGATGATTCGGAGAGCACAGAAGCCTTATGGTCAATGGTTCGTCTCCGACAACTTTTCAACCCATTTTCACTAGCATGGCAACGTACCGGAGAATACAAGAGGATTACGTCGGACCATAAAGAAGCCTTACGGTTGATGGTTCGTCTCCGACTACCTTTCAGCGCATTTTTACTAGCGCGGCAGCGTACCGGAGAATACAAGAGGATCGTGTCGGACCATAACATTGTTGCACAAGTCAAAGACATTTCTTCCGTTGATAATATGCACATAGGTACCGTAGAAATACTGTAGCTGTATTTTGAAGGCCGGATATCTCTAACCTGGTTAATTTGTACTTGATGATCACACTTGGGAGCATCACCATCGCCGCAAAAGATGTCCTTGTGGGACGGGTTGATTCTACCTTGATTCAATCTACGGCGTGCATTGCCGTGAATGAACGATATAGACTAAGCAGAAGTTGCGTGGCTGTATCCAGCTCGTGTCCTTGAAACTGATTGCTGGCACATAAATACGATGGATAAAAGTTAGACGCTATGGCAAGAGACACGAACCCAAGTACCACTCCATAATGGCCTATCCTGGATGTGTCGCGCCTTCAAGAGAGTCGATCAAGTCACAGAACCCGAGAGCAAGTAAAATAGGTACAACGTTCAGTACAGTGGCCACGATTACCATGATCTTCATCGTGTCGTCGTACGCTAAAACATAATCGACGAGCACATGCATTGATATATATCCACATGATGACACAGCTATTTCGAACGCACCGTTGATGACGCCCTCGCGCACGGGATCCCCAGGCGGATACGACGCTGCTAATGTATACTTCCGTACAGCTCTGCACGCTGCTCGTCACTCAACTATGGCAGATACTTCTTTAGGTTGACTGGCATCGTGTTAGACCAAATCGCACCGGCTGTAGTCCTATTTGATCAACGTCCCTAGATATCCATGAGACTGAACATACCCCATGCGTTCCTGACTGCGCCCAACGTGCGCTTGGGCGGCTCTTACAGGAAATCGTTGCTCAATCAGGCGACATCAGTGTTCTCGACTGGATCGGACAACCTTCCGAGTTCAACAGCTGTCTTCCAGCTCATATCACCTCTTACACCACCCCTTCACGCACCCTTCCACCTTTGTCTGAAGATGATATTCACACACAAGTCTCTTCATTGCGCGAATCCGTGTCTACAGCTCTAGCATTGAAAATGTATGACCAGCTTGAACAGCTGATGGCTCCTCGATTCGCAAATTGCAGACTTCATCTGCCTTGCATTTCATTCCATATCACGGAAGTCAGACGGAAGAGCGGTCCAACCAAGGAGTATAGAATCAAGGCAGACGGCCTTCACGATCTCTTCATCACCACTGCAGAGACCATAGTTCAGTTTTCGCGGGCAAAG